AGAGAGGGGGTAACCAATGAGAGAGTTGTAATATAGCGCAAGCGCAGCTGCGTTTGCTAACGGTCATTGGCATCTTTGAATTGCGCATGCGTTAACAAAAATTATTGAAAACCTTCCTTATTGGTTGCCACCGCATATACAAAAATTCTCAACTCGTTAATTTTGTTTTCGATACTAAATTTTTATTCTCACTATATATATATATGAACGAAACCAATATTATTCGATTGGAAGTTAAAATTAATGTATGCCTTCTTCTTTATAATCGTGAAATTATAAAAGAAGAAAAAAAAATTGTTTGAATTCACATTTTGAATTCGAAAGAAGATATGATTTTTGATCATATGAATGTATTTCTTGCGAGTATAAAAAATATCAGCTGTCTTAAAAAATTAAAGTATATACAATATATACCAAAGCCCACATAAAAATCTAATATTCAAGAAGATGATCACAACTGTAGGTGGACCAGATTTTGATTGTGATAAAAAATGAAAGAATCCCTCCAAATGCAAAGGAACGTGTCGGAGAGTCTGAGCAGTTATGCATGAGAATTATTTTTAAACATATATACCTCGCTTGTCACGAGATTAAGGAAGGTATGCGCATGCCAAGCCCTCGACTTTTCTCTCTCTCTCTCTCTCTCTTTCTATCTTTCTCCGATGGTATAGCTTCTCTCACTCTTTTTCTTTATCATACACCTTTTCTCTCCTTACCCCCTTCTCTCATACACCGCATTCACCAACAATCCCACTCTTTCGATTCACTTCCCCCACTCCTTAATCACATTTCATCTTCTTTTCCTTATCATTCCACCTCTCTCGGTTTCTTCTTCACCACTTTTTTTTTTTTTTTTTGCTATCTCTCAACCTGACAAAGTGAGAAGGAAGAAGAGGCAAACATGAGATGAAGAAGAAGAAGAAGAAGAAGAAAAGAGAAGAACTTCCCGTCTCGATGCAGTGAGATTAAAAAGACTGGGAAACGCATTGTTTAGGCTACACTCACACGTGACACGTGTGTTCCCGTGGGTGTGCCTCTTGTGTGAAATACTGGCAAAGTGGCAGTGAAGTGAAGGGTCGACGGCACTCCGTTTTCGCTGGAATTCAGTAGACTCTTTGGCAAAAGAGAATGGGGGAGTGTCTAATCATGTAAAAAAGTGCACCACTCGAAGAAGACAGTTTCCCTTCGAAAGAGGGATATATATATATATGTGCCATTCCAGGAGTTTTTTAGCACTTTTCGGAGTAACCTTTCCAAATTAAATGAAACATTTTTTTAATAATATTTATTAATATAAAGGTCAAAAAAAATCACTTTTTAAGTAAAAACAATTGTTTATTTAAAAAATACAACAATAAATAATGCAAAAAATTCACTTTTTTCCTGCAACTCCAAATAAATTGGTTTAAAGATCAAAATTTTCCTTATTTTTCAAGCTTTAATACCGCACAAGAAACATAGAGTACGAGAAAATATTCAACTCACAATTTTTTAAACAATGTTTGTTTACTTTTTTGTATTTTATTTATTGTGAAACGTCTGCTAAAGCTGCGCGCGACGTTTGGAAGTTGTCGCTTTCCTTATTGAGCAGAAGCTCATTACACTAGCGTAGTAGAAAGCATGTTGTGCGAAAAGTGAGGTTATGTTGTCATTAAACGAAACGTAAAAATTTCTGGTTATCACATTGAATGGTTTTTAATTATCTACTTTGCAGTAAAAAATCATGAAAAACATTTTTGAAGGATGAAAATCCTCACTTTTCACACAACATGTTTTTTACTACGCTAGTGTAATGAGCTTCTGCTCAATAAGGAAAGCGACAACTTCCAAACGTCGCGCGCAGCTTTAGCAGACGTTTCACAGTAAATAAAATACAAAAAAGTAAACAAACATTGTTTAAAAAATTGTGAGTTGAATATTTTCTCGTACTCTATGTTTCTTGTGCGGTATTAAAGCTTGAAAAATAAGGAAAAATTTGATCTTTAAACCAATTTATTTGGAGTTGCAGGAAAAAAAGTGAATTTTTTGCATTATTTATTGTTGTATTTTTTAAATAAACAATTGTTTTTACTTAAAAAGTGATTTTTTGGACCTTTATATTAATAAATATTATTAAAAAAAATGTTTCATTTAATTTGGAAAGGTTACTCCGAAAAGTGCTAAAAAAACTCCTGGAATGGCACATATATTTATGGGGCGTTATATGTGAAATTTTCAATCAAAAAAAGAGAGCTCTAAAATTAATTTATTAAGAATTTTCATTATCCACAATTTATTTTTAGACGAATTTTCATTTTTTAAAATTATTATTTAATAGAAATTCCATTTAAGGGAAGGTCCTTGTAAGGCAGTGCCATCTACAATGAAACTAAAATTTCGGAAAATTTCCAACAATACTTACTTGAATTCTAAAGTATTGTAATTAGTAATACATTTTTTTTTTAGACGAATTTCACAAATTTCGAACTAAAATTTGACAAATTTTGTTTTTTATACAAATTTTTACCTAAAAAAATTTTTATCTACCGAATTTTTGTTTGTCAGAATCTTTATTTTACAGTAATTTTCTTCACATGACTTTTTATTTAAAAGAATTTTAATTTAAACGAATTTTATGTGATTCGAATTTTTAATAATAACATAGAAATTCAAATTCACCGAATTTTAGTTTGTTCAAATTTTTATTTGTAAGAATTTTTAATTTTTTGTAATTTTTAAGTTTCCGAATTTTCATTTGTCCGAAATTACAAACGACAGAAGAAACAATCAAAAGAAAGATGTCGGCGCAATTTTTAAAATTGACCAATCACGATTCTTTAATAATTTCTAATTGGTCAATTTTTGAAAATTGCGCCGAAATCTTTCTGTTCGATTGCTGTTTGTTCGGTCATTTCCCGTGTGGAAATGGAACCATGGGTAAAATCATAAAAACCATGGGCGAAATCGATTGTCAAGGAAAAATACGATTAGACCCATGGTTTAAACCTTGGCAAAAACCTTAAAAATCATTGCTCATGTGCGTTTCCCAAGGTACAATTTTCCATGGGAAAATTTTTTTTTTTAATTTTACGGATTTTTAACCATTGCTAAAATCTTGGAAACCTTAGAAATTTTATTTTAATTTTACGGATTTTTAACCATTGCTGAAATCTTGGAAACCTTGGAAATTTTTTTTTAATTTTACTGATTTTGGACCATTGATAAAATCTTGCGAACCATGGAAAAATGATTTTTTTTAATTTTACTGATTTTGGACCATTGCTAAAATCTTGCAAACCATGGGAAAATTATTTTTCTTAATTTACGGATTTTTGACCATTGCTAAAATCTTGAAAACCATGTGAAAAAGTTTTATAATTTTTTTGATTTTAAACCATTGCTAAAATCTTGCGAACCATGGGAAATTTTTTTTGTCTATTTTACGGATTTTGGAGCATGGTTAAAAACTTGCAAACCATTGGAAAGTTTTTAAAATTAATTTTTCATATTTCGCATGATTTTTGCAATGGTCAAAAATCCGTAAATTAAACAGAATAATTTTCCCATGGTTCGCAAGTTTCTAGCCATTGTCCAAAATCCGTGAAAAAGAAAAAAAAATTTCCCATGGTTCGCAAGATTTATGCAATGGTCCAAAATCTGTAAAATTAAAAAATTGTTTCCCATGGTTTGCAAGTTTTTAGTCATGGTCCAAAATCAGTAAAATAAAAAAAAAATTTCCCATGGTTTCCAAGATTTTAGCAATGGCCCAAAATTAGTAAAATTAAAAAATTAATTTTCCCATGGTTTCCAAGATTTTAGCAATGGTTAAAAATCCTAAAATTAAAAAAAAATTTCCTATGGAAAATTGTACCATGGGAAACGGACATAAGCAATGGTTTTTGAGATTTTTGCCAAGGTTTAAACCATATGGGTCTAATCGTTTTTCCTTGGCAAAATTCGGGGTCTTAAAAATTATATCAATTGAAAATTCGTATACAAATAAAAAATCGAACAAATTTAAATTCGGTGAATAATTGGAATATCTGTTATTTAAAAATTCGAAAATAAAAATTTTGCCAAGCAAAAATTCGGTAGCTAATAATATTGTTATGTAAAAATTTTGTATAAAAAGAAAGTCTGTCAAATTTTAATTCGAAAATTGTGAAATTCGTCTAAAAAATAATTATTTCTAATACACTGAGAGAAATGGATAGTAAGAATTTGATAGTAAAAAGAAAGATTGTACAAGGTACTATCATTGTGTTACTGACAAGAATCTACTATCAACATTTTACTATCCAAGATGTTACCCAAAGACGTAAAATATGTTAGCTTTTGGATTGTAGTCACTACTATCAAATATTGTAAAAATTAAATGTGAGCGCATGCGCTGATTGTGGTGTATACTTCGCCTATTCAATTGCGGTCCTTGTGTTTTCACGCACGTGTTTATATATAGTGAAAAAAGTTGTGATTAAAAAATGGACGAGTTTGTTAAAAATTTATTAATGTCGTGGAATATGGAATCTTTGATTCCATCTTTTGGAGGTAGGTTTATTATTTTGATTGAATTAGCGAAGACTGAAGTGTGAACGTGTTTATAACCTCAAAACAATTTTGCGTTGTTTAGACGGTGAAATTGATGAAGAATCGTTTTACTTACTGGACAGTGATACAATATCACTCATTATACCAAAAGCAGAACCTCGCTTAAAATTTTTTAAAAAATTTCAAGATTACAAAAATCAAGTAAGTTTTTTTTCGTTTGTATAAATGTACATGTGTTTATTGAAATTTTTTTTTGGAAAAAAAACTTTTTCATATTTTTTCTTACTTTTTTTAAACTTAAAAATTAGTAAAATAATACAAATTCAATTGACTCTGTGAAAAAAATATACCGTTTGATAAATATATTTATGTTTAAGCAAGTCCTTTTTATAGACGGAGTGAAAAAATAAACATACTCTTTTTTATGTAAAAAGTTTAAAGTTTAAATTCTTATGGAAATGTTTTATTAAGGGGGGAACACCAGTTGTAACTTTCGAAAAATCAATTTTTTTTTTTGTGCATTTTCTTAAAGTACACATATTTAGAAATGTGTCTGTAAATTTCAAAGTTGATCCGGTGAAAAATAAATGAGATATACAGAACACTGCATCGGCGCGTCCCGTGGCTTCATACAAGGTGGCCAGCCATAACTGACCCTAACGACAGATGGCCTTTTCCTATGATTTAGAAACGGCAACCACTGCGGAAGAGTTATTATATGGTCCAAGAATCGATGACTCTTTGTAACTTGGAAACAAAATTTCTTCTGAACAAAAAAAAGTAAGTTGAAACTTTGAATGCGTTTTTCTCAAAATGACATTTTCCAAGTCGGTGACCACGATTACTCGAATACCATTAAACCGATTTATTTAAAATTTAGTGTGCTTCATTTACACATATAAGTCTAGTTCGTGATCGAAGGATTTTTTTTTTTATGCAAAACTTTTTTTTATATAGCTGAAAATCGACCGTATTTTTTTAACGAAAATCATACTTTTGACTTTGACAGGTCGCCATTTTGTCAAATTTTTTTTTTTTTTTAAATCCTTCGATCACGAACTAGATAATCTTATAATAAATGTAAATCAATTTCATTTTTGTATTTCAGACGAAGTATACTTGCAGAATGCTGGTCACCGCAATTCGCCTTTTTTCTTAAGACGCCACTTCAATGGCTCATATCTCCAAAAGTTTTTGTTAAAAAAATTTTTTTTTTCTTTTAAATTACAGCTTTTTACATGTACTTTTAACTAATAAATAGTATTCTTTAAAAAGATTCATTGTTCTTTTGGAAAATATTCTTGAAAAAAGCATTATTTTTTGAGTTACAACTGGTGTTCCCCCCTTAAAATAAAATGAAATTATTTAAGTTTACAAAAAAAGCGAGGTTAGGTTCGTGTATATTTGCCACTCGAGAACGTAAAGAGATCGTATAAAATTTTTAACATCAAAGATTGTAAATTGTACAATCAAATTTCTATAATCATCTGATAGTAAATACTACAATCTATATCGCTGTCTGTATATTTAGCACTAAATATGGTTGCCCTTAACATCATTATGTTACCCAGTAGCATAAATTTCTCTCCGTGTAAAATACTTTAAAATGAAAATTCTAATTAATGATTTTTATGGTATAATCATGCACCCCCTTAAAAACAAGAAAATAATATGCTTTACTCATTAGGATAATTGATTATTGCCAAGTAATACATTCGCTAAAACTTTTTTTGAGTTAAAATAGTAATTTAAATAATAATAATTAATGTCGATAAATTAAATATGAGCACATTTTTATGAAAACTGTAAAGGTCAATTTTTTAAATGCCATAGATTTTCTGATTCGCCGCATCTTTATTTCAAAGAATTTTTATTTGACGAATTGTTATTTGCGATAAAAATTTTTAAACGCAGAAATTTCATTTAACCGGTATTGAAAATATCCATATAAAGATAACCTATAAAAATATTTTGGCGCGAATTTAAAAATTGACCAATCGTAATTTTCTTGATAGTTTCTGATTGGACAATTTTAAAAATTCAGATAAAATCTTTTTGTTGATTATGATTATTGGCCATTTACAATTTCGGACAAATGGAAATTCGGCGTCTTATATTCTATTAAATAAATATTCGGTCAAATAAAAATTCAGAGAATTGGAAATTCTGTTATTTGAAAATTCTGTTTGTAACTTTTTTTGAAATTATTATAAAATAAAAAATTTTTTTTCGATGCAAAAAGATATAAGAAAATATAGAAACGTTTCCAAAAAATTTTTTGATTTTATATAAGAAAATTTGAAAAAAGATACAGCCGTTTTAGTCATCGTGACGCATGCAAGAAAATTCAATTGTTCTCGCGTGGAAATGCCCTTCTGTCAAATTAGAATTTTTTTTTTTTAATAAAAATTGCATATAATTTAAATAAAAATTACCAAATATTGTGTTGAACAAAAATTTATTTAAAAAAAAATTCTACGAAATGCTAATTCTAATGCTCTAAATCTTATGTATGTAATATGTAGAAATTCAGTTTAATACAATTTCTACTGAATACCTACATTAGATTTACAAAAAAACATATCTTCCATAATTTTCATTAAATAACAAAATAAAAGAAATACGTATTTTTTCTATTTTTTATAATTTCCAAAAAAAAAAAATTTTTTTTTAATTGAAAATTTCTCATAGAATGTCCCATATAAATGTCCTCCATGCATAATAGCAGTCTTTCTTTCTGAAAATTTTCTTCGATTTCATCTCAAACACAAAATTCGTGAAAATCATGAAAAAAAATTCGAGGTAATAGAGAAGAGAAACGCTTTTACGCTCGAAAAAGCAATTTAAACGAACTGAAAGGTTTTCTTTAAAATTGGTTAAAAAAGAGAGAAATTCTCCCTGAGACGTTGAGTGGAAAAAAAAAGTTTTCCTTAAAATTTGGAAAAAAACTTCCTGAATCTAAGAAAAAAAAAACAGAAATGGTTTTTTAAAGAACCACTAATTGATTCATCTTTAAACAAAAAATCTGATTTGACAATAACAAATTACAATAATTTTTAAATCATTTATAATTTTTAATCAAAATTTATATCAGAAAATGAGAATTCAATAATATGAGTATAATGTAATCATAATTATAATAATTATAATTTTTGATTATAAATATAAAATATGTAAAATAAAAAACTTTTTTTCAACTATTTTTTGTATCAAAAAAAGAAAGAAATTCAATTTCAACTTAAATATTGGTAAGAGATTATAAAATAATATTCTTCCAATATACTTTTGAAAGTTTAAGTCGCCCAGACAATATTCGACAAATTTTATTGAAAAAGATAATCTCCCCTTTGGGCTTTAAATTCACTTTTTCTTCATTTTCAAGATTCAATTCTTCCAAGTTTAAGCTTGAAATACACTTTTCCCTGAATCTCGCATATTCTACTTGAAAAGGAATAAAAAAAGCTTTTCACGTTCTATATATATATATGGCGAGACAACAATATTGTATATCATGGAAAATAAGTGACCGGAAACGAAAGAAGAGCCTATGCACAAATTTCGACCACAAAAAAAAAAAAAAAAAAATGAAACTGAAAGAAAATAATAATCAAATTTTATAAAAGCATTTTACGATCTGATATAAAAAGCAAAATTTTCTTACGAAACTTTTTGTAATTTAAATAAACTGGTTTATATACTACAAATAAATAATATATTAAAATTTGGAAAAAGAATATTTCAACAATTTGTAAATAATTTTAATTTTTTTAAATTAATCAAATTTCTCAGAATTAATTCGGAACAAAATTGTTTGTGAAAAATAATTTTTTTTTATTAAATTTTTTATTACTATTATTATAACTTGTATAGTTATTTTTGTACATAAGATTTTTAATTTTTTTAATGTTTAAAATTTTTAATTGTACAATTTGGCTTTTTAGTATATTTTTCCAAAATTGTAGAATAATTTTTTAAAATTTAGTATAATTATTATTATTTTCTTTCAGTATAGTGTGTAGAAAAAATTTTTAATTTTAGAAGTTTTTTTGTTTATTAATTTTCATTAATTTAAAAATAATTTTTTATGAATTAATTAAACAGGATGTCTATTATTTATAATAAATCACATTTCCGGTTATTTTCTAATTTTTTTCTGAAAAGTTATTAATAACCTGAAAATGAATCATTGTAAAAAAAAATTTTTATAACTTGTTTAAATTTAATTAAATTTGCATTTAAATAAATATAGTAATAATATAGTTGTTTTTAATAATTCAAAAAAACAGTAGTTTGTATCTAAGAGAAGAATTGAAAGAAAATAAAAAGAAAACAGAATTTTTAAAAATGAATAGAAAATTTAATGTTAAAAATAAATAATTGAAAATTTTTGAAATTTCCAAAATAAAAGAAGAATTTCAGGAAAATTAGGAAAAAAAAGTTATTATTGAAGGGAAAAAAATCGAAAATTTCAAAATAATAGTATAACTTGAAAGAAAAAACGAAAAAAAAAATTAAATTTTTACAAAAATAAAAGAAAAGTATTTTTTGAGAAAAATTGAAATTTTTGTTGAAAAAAAATGAATAGAAAATTTTTTAAAATTTCCAAAATAAAAGAATTTGAAGAAAAATTAAAAAAAAGAAGTCAGTGGTCTAGAATCTAGAATTTCAAAAAAAAAAATGAAAAGAAAAGAAAATAGAAAAAGGAAATTCAGTGTTAAAGAAAAGAAAACTTGAAAAAATCGAAAGTTTTAGAAATAGTCAAAAACTTAAAATTTGAGGGAAAAATAGAAAACGAAATAAACACAAGAATTTTAGATAAATGAAAAGAAATAAAAAATAAAAAATCGTAAAAATTAAATAATAATAAAAAATAAAATATAATTATAATAATTAATAAATCAATTTTAACGATGAAAGAGACTGAGGATTAAAAAACGAATATAAATTAATATTAATAAAAAAAAAATTATTAAAAAAAATAATAAATTAAAAGTCAAAAATTAAAAAAAAAAAATTGATAATTCAAAATCAAATTATTAAAATTATTTCACGAAAGGAATATGTGATAAAAACAAAAGTATAGTAGAATTGTAAATCTTATATTCAATTCAATAGGGACCGAGTTATTTAAGTCTGGCGCTTGTTTTCTTCAATTTTATATCCCTAGCGACATCTTACAGTAACTTTTCCAACTCCTCATCTTTAGGATTGGTGGTAAAGATTTACGAAACGTGGTTTGAGTATTTTCTAACAACATTAGAAAATCAATATATTTTTATAACAAAAAAAAAAATTCATTCTAATAAAATCTAACTCAATTTCCCAAAATTTTATAAATCATAAATTTTTATTTATCTTTAATTAATCAATCATATAATTAATTAATTAATTGCAAAATAATATTTTTATGATATTAATTTTTATTTTGAGAGAATTAGAAATTTAAAAAAAATTAACTAAAATTGTCTTTCAGAAGATTAGAATTTTTTTTTAAATTTTCTTTTCTATTTCCCCTACGATTTTATTGGGCGCATGATTATTCTATAAAAATAATTATTTAGTATTTTTAATTTAAAGAATTTTATCAAATATAATTATTTTTTAGACGATTTTTTATTTTTCAAATTAGCATTTAACAGAAATTTTTTTTAAACGAATTTTTAACAAAATTTTTAGCTACCAAACTTTTATTTCAAAGAATTTTTTTTTTACCTAATTTTTATAATAAATAAATAATAAATAATAATAATAATAATAATAATAATAGAATAAAATAATTCTAATTTAACCGAATGTTAATTTAGCATAATTTTCATTCAAACAGAATTTTAAGTGAAACTAAATTTTAAATGTAAAATTTTTCTAGTTTCCGAATATTCATTTGTTTGAATTTTTATTTGCCAAAATTGCAAATGGACGAATAAGAATTCTGCTAAATTAAAATTCGATTAAATTAGAATTCTTTTGAATAAAAATTTGTGTAAAGAGAAAATCAGTAAAATAAAAATTCTACTAAATAAAAATTTAGTAATTAAAAATTCTATAAAATAAAAATTCGTTTTAAAATAAAATTTTGAAATGCTAATTCGAAAAATGAAAATTGGTCAAAAAAAAATGTAATAGAATTCTTTAAAATAAAAAATGGAACTAATAATTTTTAAGAGATAATGATGCCCGTCGATTTTTCATTACTTTCATTTTTGTTGAGTAAAAGTCTTTAGTTACTTTTCAATATAAATAAATCAATGAATTTTCTATTGGACGACACTTTATAGCAATCTATTATAAAATTCTATTTAAATTTTCAATTCCAATCAACAGATTATTATTATTTTTTTTTTCGGGTAAATAAATGAATTTGTCAATTTGAATCTCCGGATGAAATTTGATATGCATATTTAATTTGCACTGACCTGCAAATTGGTTCGGGATAATCCTTCTCTTCTGGTGTGGTCAGGAAGTTACTGTCATTGATAGCCGAAGATGTGGATCCTCTAGGTGACCTCGGGCCACCCTCGGGTTCTCCAATCAGGACCTCGGTTCGTCCATTTTGAAACGGGCTACTTGCTCTTCGTTCTCCAACTCGCGAACTCTGCACCGGTTGCTGAAAAGAAAAAAAAAGAAAAATTAATTAAAATTCTACTCCAATCAATTTATAAATAAATCGATTATTAATTAAATTCCATCTAGAAATTATATGAATATAGACAAAACAACGTTGAAAGCTATTTCAATAATGAAATACCAAACGCAAAACTTTTCATGACAAACCGTTTATTATTAAGATTAAAATTGCGTCAACGAACTCAGTCAAAACAAAAAGTTAATTCAATTCTATATATATTTTAATTTTTAAATCAATTTAAAAAAAAACAGTTTTTTAATTAAAAAGGGGACGCATGAATATGTTCAAAAAATTATTTGTTAGAATTTTCATTTGATGGAATTTCATTTGTCAAAATTATTTTTGAGCCGAATTTTTATTTGTTCGAATTAGTATTTTTGAAGAATTTTTCATAAAAACGATTTTCTATATTACACATAATTTTTATATAACCGAAAATTCATTTCACATAATTTTTATTTATTCGAATTTTTATTTGCTCGCATTTTCATTTAATTTAATAGGCATTTTAAAGAATTTTTATTAGGTAGAATTTCATATCGAAGAACTTCTATTTAACTAAATTCTAATTTAATAGAATTTTTATTTAACTAAATCGAAAAATATAATTTCCATTCAACAGAATTCATATCTAGCAAAATTTACATAAAAAAACAATTTTTTTTCTCGGTCAGAATTTATCAAACGGATCCCCTAAAATTAACAAATTTAATTTTCAATGTTAAATGATTTTTTCACTCCAACTTGTGATCAAAATAAGTTTCTGAAAATATTAGACGAAATTTTTTTTTGAAACTCTAAAAAATTGAAATTTTTAGCTGTTTTAAATAAAAAAAAAAAATTTCTGGAGATCCAGTTGAAAAAATTTAAAAACAAAAAATTGGTTTTTTCATCTTGGAAAGTATTTAAATATAATTTAAAAAAAAAGAATTTTTATTCAAAAAGTTTTTTAAATTGTTTAAAATTTAAAAATTGTTTTATTGTTCCGCATAAATTTTTGATTATAGAACTGTTGTGAAAATAATTTACACTCAATTAGAAAAAAAATTTATTTAATAGTAATTATTTATTTCAATGAAAAAATAATTGAAAATAATTTAAAATTAGAAAATCAAAAGTAACATTTTTTACCCAGAAATATTCAAAAATTAATATTTTTCAAAAATAAATTTTGTGCTGAATTCTCCAAGTCTAGCATAAATCAGCACAAAATTTGTTTTTGAAAATTAATAAGTTTTGAATATTTCCGGATAAAAAAATGTTTTTTTTTTTTTTTACCATGTAACTTTTTTTTTTGTTATCCAAATGAGATCAATTTTTTTTCAAATTTCTCACAAAAAGATGCTATTTTAAGAAAAAAATAGTTCATGAAAAAAAAATTTTTTTTGCCCGGAATTGCTCATATGTGGAATTTGTGATAATGTTAATTTTAATTGATTATATAATATTTTTCATTTATTCTCTAAATTCAAATTTAAAGAGTAGTTAATCGTAGTTTAAATTAGTGATAATTGTAATTATTTTATGTTGCCTTCAGTTAACTAGTATTACAAAAAAAATTAGTGTTTTTAAATAACGATAAATTCAATAATAATAATTGTCAATGTAAATTTCTTGTAGTTTCAATTAATGATAATTTTAATTAGTGACAGATATAAAAATTATTAAAATTACATGTTCAAAATTGCTGATAATTTAAATATTATATATTTGAATTTTATATTTAAAAATAAATGTATTATAATTTATTAACGATTCCAATCAATTGGATTGTCAATTACTGATAATTTAAAAATAATCTTAATTGCCAGTGTACTCGAAATTGTAATATCAATTTCAATTACTGATATTTAATTAAAATTTATATTTTCTCGAAAAGATATAAAAATGTGTATATATTTAATTTAAATAAATTATATTTGGTTTGAATAAAAAAAAAAAATTTCTCTGGTACATTAAATAAAAGCGAGAATATTTATAAAATAGTACTTTATATTCAAAATTATCATTATATTGAAAAGGGACACACATAAATATTTTCTAAAAATCCATTAGTTTAATTTTACAGTCGATCGAATTTTATAAACGAAGTTTCACACTATCGAATTTTTATTTAAGCGAATTTGTTTTATGTTTAGATTCGAATAAAATTCGATCGACTGGAAAATCGAACGAATTTTATACTTTTTAGAAAAAACAGAATTTTCATTAAACATAACTTTTATTTAAATTTTGATTAAACAGAATTTTAAATTTTTAATAGAATTTTTATTTAGACAAAATTTTATTAAATAGATTTTTTGATTAACTTAATTTTTATTTTAGGTAATAAAAATTTTTATTTAGCCAAAATTTTATTAAACAAAAATTTTTAATTTAAAAGAATTTTTCATGAAGAATTTAAAAATTAAGCAATATTATTTAAATTTCCTTGATAATTTTCTGATTAAACATGGACAAATTGAATTACGGAAAAATTTGATACTTCAATCAATTGAAAATTGAATATAATTTTAAACTTGAAACAAATAAAATTTGTACAAATTGAATTTCGAATAATTTGAGACTTAAATAAATTAAAGTTTAAGTAATCTAATAATTAATTATAATTAATTAATTCTACATTCCAATAAATGTTTTTACATTGTAAATTTAATTATTTTTTTAAATATTACATCTTCAAATTAATCAAATCATGAGGAAGGTGAAAAAGATAAGAAATAATCAAATTATATAAAATAGGTCACAAAACTTTTTACAAATACGCAGGAAGTATATATATATAATTGACATTTTTTGTAAATTTGTTCAATTTCCTAAAATTTCCTGACAAAAATTTTTTTAAATTAGAGAATCTATTAAGTAAAAGTTTTGTTTAAAAATAGAAATTCTATTAAATAATAATTTGATATTAAATAAAAATTCTTTGACATGTGAAAATGCAATAAAATTAAAATTCGAACGTAAGAATTTCGAAACAAAATAAACCGAAAATATTACGTCACAAAAGAAAAAAACTTTTTTTTTATGAAAAAATTAATAAAAATTTTTGTTACAAAACCATAGTTTGAAATCGGAAACCTAAAATCATTTCTTCACTCCAATTAAAAATATGGAAAACAAAGGTTTTACCTATGCATTTTTTTACTCAATTTTTTGCGAACTTTTTTTAAATTCGAAAATACATATTTCGAGGCCTTAACAGTTAAAGGCCTCAAAATATTTATTATTATCATTTGTATTTTTTTTGTTTTGTTTCGAATTTAAGATTATCATTTGCAACAAAATAAAAATTCGACCTTATGAATTGCAAATTAAAATAAAACAAAAATACTACGTTACAAAAAACCGTTTTTTAAAAAAATAAATTCAAAAAGATAATAAAAATTGCAGTCACAAAACCACATAGTTTGAAATCGAAAATTTTCTTAATTCATTTTTTCACTGCAATTAAAAGTGCAATTTATTGGAAAATAAAGATTGTACACTAAAGAAAAATGGATTTGATACAAATAAATATTTACTTGAAACAAATAATTTTTATTTGAATCAAATAAGGGACACATGATTATGTTCAAAAAATTATTTGTTAAAATTTTCATTTGATGGAATTTCATTTGTCATAATTATTTTTCAGCCGAATTTTCATTTTTTCGAATTAGTATTCTGCAGAATTTTTCATAAAAACGATTTTCTATATATTACACAATTTTCATTTGTTCGAATTATTATTTGATATATTTTCCATAGAACCGATTTTTCATGCTACAGAATTTTTACTTAACCGAAAAAAATCATTTAACAGAATTTCTAATTGAAAAAATTTTCATTTGTCCGAAATTGCAAATGGCCGAACAAACAATCGACAGAAAAATTTCGGCGCGATTTTTAAAATCAACCAATTACAATTTTATGGATAATTTTTAATTGGTTGATTTTAAAAATCGCGCCGAAATCTTTCTGTCGATTGTTTGTTCAGTCATTTGCAATTTCGGACAAATGAAAATTCTTTCAATTAGAAAATGATTTTTTTCGGTTAAGTAAAAATTCTATAGTATGAAAAATCGGTTATATGGAAATTATATCAAATAATAATTCGAAGAAATGAAAATTTTACGCAATAAAATTCTACCCAATAAAAATTCTTTAACATGTCTATATTATGTGAAATGAAAATTCGAGCAAATAAATTTTGACAAATGAAAATTCGTATAAATAAAACTTCTGTATAGCGAATTTTCGATTATATAAAAATTCTCTAATATAGAAAATCTGTTTCATAGATATTCTACGAAATAATAATTTGATTAAATAAAGGGGCGCATGATTATTCCCCAAATTTCAATTTCATAATTTTCAAGACAACGAAATTCTTATTATCGAAATGTCTTTTCACATAATTTTTATATTGCGAAATACCATATAATTTTTATTTTTTCGAATAATCATTTATTCTAATTTTTAAATATAATAGAATTATCTACTGACATAATATTTATTTTACCGAAAACTTCTTTAGCATAAACTTCATTCTTCCGAATTGTTATTTGTTACAATTATTAATTCTCCGAATGATTACATAACCTAAAATTCATTCATACTAATCGCCATTTAATATAATTTGCATGTTTTTGAAATGTCATTTCACATAATTTTTATATTTCGAAATAACGTTTAACACAATTTTTATTTTTTCGAATAATCATTTATTCTAATTTTTAGGGTTTCGTGGCCCATGGCCGAAAGCCTTATAGTTTCACTTTGGCGTCCGTCTGTCCGTAGTATATTTTGGGGCACCACAGCTCCCAAAATCAAATTTTAGGGCACAGATCCCAAATTAAAATTTTAGGGCACCACAGATCCTAAATTCAAATTTTGGGGCCCCACAGATCCCAAATTAAACTTTTGGGGCACCACAGATCCCAAATTCGAATTTTGGGGCCCCACAGATCCCAAATTCAAATTTTGGGGCCCCACAGATCCCAAATTAAACTTTTGGGGCACCACAGATCCCAAATTCGAATTTTGGGGGCACCAGAGATCCCAAATTCGAATTTTGTGGCACCATAGCTCCCAAATTCGAATTTTTGGGCCCCACAGATCCCAAATTCTAATTTTGGGCAATCATAGCTTCCAAATTCGAATTTTGGGGCACCATAGTTCCCAAATTGAAATTTTGGGGCACCACAGATCCCAAATTCAAATTCTGGGGCACCATAGCTCCCAAATTCAAATTTTGGGGCCCCACAGATCCCAAATCTCCATTTACTGAATGGACATTTTCCCGAATGGACATTACATGAATGGACATTACATGTCCCATTAGTTAACATGCCCCTATAATTAACATGTCCCAGTAGTTCACCTGTCTCAGTAATTGACATGTCCCAATAGTTGACATGTCCATATAGTTGACATGTCCCTATAGTTGACATGTCCCTATAGTTGACATGTCTTAATAGTGGACATTATCGAATGGACATTTTACCTAATGTTTTTGTTTGTGAATCAAAAAAGATAAATGATAGAAGAAAGACCTCCACTCCACAGCCACTCTTTCTTTTTTCTTTCATTTACCTTTTTGAATTTTGATTTTGCCAATTTTTGATTTTCTTCGAATTTACTGTCTGGGGGAGAATTAATTTATAGAAATTAATATTTTATAATTTATAATAAAAATTTTGCTAAATAAATAAAATTTAATAGTACATAAAATTTATAAAATAAATTTTATTATTTATTTTTAAATTATTTATTTTTGATTTATTTTTTTTTTAATTAAAATTTAAAGCGCCACGAAACCCTAGATGTAGGCGCCATTGCGCCTAGTTCTTTTCCTATTTTTAAATAATCAAATTACCTTTTAACATAATTTGTATTTTGACGAATGACCATTGATTAGAAGTTTTAAATGTTCGAATTTCAATTATCTAGAATTTTCATCTAATCACATTTCCATTTAGTATAATTTTTATTGCTTCGAAATATTATTTTACATAAATTTCAATTTTCTAAACTTCATTTGTTACAATTGTTATTTTTCAAAAATTCACATAACCTAAAATTCACTGACACTATTTGCTATTTGACATAATTCACAAAACACAGAAAATTAAAATGTCCTAAATTTTGTTTTGCCGATATATAATTTTTCATAATCTCTATTTCTTATAATAGTCACTGTACATAAATTCCTTTTTTCGTATTTTTAAATATAACATATGATCCAAATAACAAAAATTTCATTTCATCTAAAATATCACGTCTTAGTTTTTAAGCAGTTGTTTCCCATCTATGTGTTTTATATTTTTTGATTAAAATAGTCGGTAAAGAAGATGTAGATTATACATAAACAAAAAAAATCTTTATTTTCTTTATCGACAATTTTAATCAAAAAATATAAAACACATAGATGGGAAACAACTGCTTAAAACCTAAGACGTGATATTGTAGATGAAAGAAATTTCTGTTGTTTGGATCATATATATGTTATTTGAAAATTCGAAAATGGGAACTTATGTACATAGTGACTATTATAAAAGAAATAGAGATTGTGAAAAACTACATATCGGCAAAACAAAATTTAGGACATTTAAATTTTCTGTGTTTTGTGAATTATGTCAAATAGCAAATAGTGTCAGTGAATTTTAGGTTATGTGGATTTTAGAAAAATAACAATTATATAACGAATAAAGTTTAGAAAATTGAAATTTATGTAAAATAATATTTCAAAGTAATAAAAATTATACTAAATGGAAATGTGATTAGATGAAAATTCTAGATAATTGAAATTCGAACATTTAAAACTTCTAATCAATGCGTCAAAAAGAAAAATTATGTTAAAAGGTAATTTGATTATTTAAAAATTAGAATAAATGATTATTCGAAAAAAAATAAAAATTGTGTTAAACGTTATTTCGAAATATAAAAATTATGTGAAATGACATTTTAAAAACATGCAAATTATATTAAATGGCGATTAGTATGAATGAATTTTAGGTTATATGTAATCATTCGGAGAATTAATAATTATAACAAATAACAATTCGGAAGAATGAAGTTTATGCTAAAGAAGTTTTCGGCAAAATAAATATTATGTCAGTAGATAATTCTATTATTTAAAAATTAGAATAAATGATTATTCGAAAAAATAAAAATTATATGAAATGGTATTTCGCAATATAAAAATTATGTGAAATGACATTTCGATAATAAGAATTTCGATGTGTTGAAAATTATGAAATTGAAATTTGGGGAATAATCATGCGCCCCATAAATAAAATTCGTCGGAATAAAAATTATATCTAATGAAATTCGATTAAATAAAAATTCTAACAATTGATTTTTAGGATTTATTCATGCGTCCCAATTTTTTCGTATCGAGAAGAAAATTCCAAATTTATTCCTGATAATATAAATTAAATATATAGAAAATTGAGAAAATCTGTTAATTATATATATTGCAGCCGTAAAAAAAAACTTAAGAAAATAAAAATAAAAACACACTAACCAGAAGATTTGGTTCGTCAAGACAGCTCTGTTGTTTTTCCGAAGCGTCCTTTTGATCCTTCGCGTGTTCTTTGAGATCCTCGGAATCCTGACTTTTTGCAATGCCTTTGGGAATAGTTCCGTTGCTTAGTTTTGTCGGATGGGCAATCGTTCCAGGCTCTCTAACAATGAAAAGAAAGAGAAAAAACAATATACAATAACAGTCGGCAAAGTTTACATCTATCTACTATAGGTACTATTATTATAGTCACCATATCAAAAGAAGAATTTTCTGCATCAGAATCACATAAGCTTATACATATCAACTCGTAAGATCACAAATTTATCACATCCGTTTCGTAACGCAGTCGTCCTTGTTTCTTTTTTTTTTTCAGTATATAATATAAACCAATGAAAGATTCTTTACTTAGTATATATATATTGTATATGCACACACAGGTATATATATATATATATATATATATATATATATATATATATATATATATATATATATATATATTATAATATCTGTGTGTGCAATAATAATATTTGAACGACCAACTGCAGATCAGGTTTAGAAACGAACGTCAAAGAACTCCAGTGCACGTTTCTTTTTCTCTCCTCTTTTTTTTCTTTTTTTTTTTTTACTTTACACTCGCGAACTTTTATCGGGAATGATGTAATTTCTCCGTGAATCATGGAAGGACAAATTACACGAACAAGAAAGACGTGTCATAAAAAGTTTTTTACATTAAGTGATAAATTTTCGTTTTTAACATTCGAACATCTCTCGATAGTATATTATTTTCAAACCGTCAGATATAAATATATATATTGATTCTCTTTATTTATACTTGAATTTCTTTTTTATTTGTTCATTTGTTTATTTGCTTATTTACTTATTTACTTATTTAATTTATACTAAAATTTTAATTTAATAAACCATAAATTTAAAAAAAACTATTAAACAAGCTGACATTTAATGCTGCACTGGCAATTTAATAACAACAAATGAAGTGAAATAAACGTGAAGTTGCATTCTTAAAGTTGACTATCATTTTTTTTTTTTTTTTTTAAATAATTTTTGGAAAAAAATGTCCATTGGAAAAATAATAATTTTGGAAATTTGGCATTGGCACTTTTACTTTTATTTTGGTACTTTTAACTCCCTACCCAGGTAGGTAGAGATGAAAAATAAAATTCTTTCCGAATCAAGTAAAAAGAGCACAATTGGTTTTACTTGAGTTGAAAAAAATTATTTTTTTATCTAATGTAAATAAATAATAATAATAATAAAATAATTTGGTATTATTTTTTCAAATTAAAAACATGATATTTTAAAATAAACTTAACGTTTTCTTTACAAAATTTATCAAATTTTTATAAAAATTAAAAAAATTAATTTACACTATATTAGTATTACTATAATATTAGTAATTCATTTATTTAAAAATTATTAATTTATTTATGAGTATCCTAATTATTAAGTATAAATGGGTCTAATTAAGTAAAAAAATTTTGAAAAAAAATATTTATTATTTTTCGAGATATTTGCATTAAAAAATTAGTACAACATTTTTTTCAATTATACTCATAACTTTTTCACTTTTAGTCCTAGATACCTACTTTCTTTTTCAAACAAAATTTAATATATTTTAAACGAAAGGGTTCATTTTTTTCTTTTTTTAAGCTTGTGTACCTATATATGTAAAAAAACAAATTTTATATAAATTATTTATTTATAAATTATAATAAATTTGTATGAAATAATAAATATTTAATTAAATCTAAAATGTAAATCAATTTCTAAAAGAATAAGCTCTAAAATTACATCATTCACGAAAATAAAAAAGAAAAAAAAAATTCAAGTAGAAAAAAAAAATGAATTTTTCCCTTCAGCAGTTATTTCTGTTATTTTAAAATTAAGAAATAAACTCGACCTAAATTTTCATCGACCAATAACGAGTTAAATCAAGTTTAAATTTTAATTTAAAGAAGAGAGAGAGAGAGAGAGAGAGTAATAAATTTTTAATATTAATAAACTTCCTACAATTCGTTATATGATGTTTAATTGAAAAGGTTATCGGTCCCGGTGTAAAAATATAATACTTTTTTTTTTTTTTTTTATTTTTATTTTAATTTTAAGGAAGCAAATAAGAGAAAAAAAAACAACTCACTTGTCGGATAGTGTAACAGTAATTTGACTGCTGGAAACATCCTTTTCGGTAGCACCTTCGCTCGTTGAAGCAGCACCTTCGCTTATCTGCAAGAACAAAATTTTCCCAATTACTTTAAATATATATCCTTTCTAGAAAGGACTCCTTCTAATTTAAAATTTTTCCTCCTTTTTAATCTCTTATATTTATATAATCTAAATTCTAATTAACAACTATTAATTAAACCGTGCAAAAGGTGGAAATTTTAATTGAATTATTAGTGCAATTAGAGCACAAACTAAATTTATTATTATATATTTGAGATTAGTTGGCTTCAAATTTCCGTGAATTTAAATTCTTTAGCAATTTTTTTTTATTTACCAAAAATTTTCAGCATATTTTTAACTTATACTGTATTTTAAGTTTTTATTTATTTAGGGTCAGTTGGGGTAAATGGGGACAAGAGTTTTTGGAGCTTAATTTACAGTTTTAAAATTAAGTTCAACGTCAATATTTTAACTTCAGATCACCTGCAAGAGGTTTTGAGTATTACCTAGCTTTTATCTTGACAATTGGCAGCAAGATAAAAAAAAGTTATCGCTCAATGCATAAAAACTTGAAAATCAAAGTCAAACTGTTTTAGTATTTTGTCTCGCATTTGGAAAAAAACAGACTTAAAAATCATATACCAAATTTTTTTCTTATTCCTTATGACTCCCATAACAGAAATTCATTTGAATTTTTGATTTTTGTCAATTTGGTTAATAATGACAAAAATCAAAAATTCAAGTGAATTTCTGTTATGGGAGTCATAAGGAATAAGAAAAAAATTTGGTATATGATTTTTAAGTCTGTTTTTTTCCAAATGCGAGACAAAATACTGAAATAAAAAAAAAATAAAAAAAATAAATAAATTTCAATTGGTTCAACTATTATACAGGGTGTTCCAAAAGTATGGAAACTTGCAAATATCTCGAAAAGTACGAATTTTCGTAAAAAATGTTCAATACAAAAGTTGTTCGAAACAAAAAGATCTACATTGTTGAAACCAAAAAATTGGGCCCCGGGCCCAATGTTGGGCCCTACAATGAAAAAAGTAGTTTTCTTAAATGAGACCACTAATTTTGAATATCAAATTCGTAATCCCCATGAAATTCTGCGTTCAGACATGTGGTATAAGTGCCCCAAATATTGGGCCCAATCCAAGATATCGGGCCCAACATTTTCGACAAAGAAATAAATTTAAAAAATCGTATCTTTGGGGGTTTTCGGGGTCACAGGATTACAAAATTCAAAGCTACTTTTCAAATTGGGCACAGAGCCCAATGTAGGATTCCGCGGCCCAATGTAAGGCCCACAGTAAAAAAAATAAGTCTAAATGCCAAAAATATTGGGCCCAATATTTTTGGCATTTGTACTACAAAACTAAATCCAAAATTTCATGACGATTACGAAATGGATACTAAAAATTAGTGGGTTTTATTTTGGACAAATAATTTTTTTACTGTGGGCCTTACATTGGGCCGCGGAATCCTACATTGCGGGCTCTGTGCCCAATTTGAAAAGTAGCTTTGAATTTTGTAATCTTGTGAACCCAAAAACCCCCAAAGATACAATTTTTTTAATTTATTTCTTTGTCAACAAATTTTGGGCCCAATCCTAGACATTGGGCCCAATATTTTTGGCATTTGTACTACAAAACTAAATCCAGAATTTCATGACGATTACGAAATGGATACTAAAAATTAGTGGGTTTTATTTTAGACAACTAATTTTTTTACTGTGGGCCTTACATTGGGCCGCGGAATCCTACATTGGGCTCTGTGCCCAATTTGAAAAGTAGCTTTAAATTTTGTAATCCTGTGACCCCAAAAACCCCCAAAGATACGATTTTTTAAATTTATTTCTTTGTCGAAAACTGTTGGGCCCAATATTTTGGGCACTTATACCACATGTCTGAACGCAGAATTTCATGGGGATTACGAATTTGATATTCAAAATCAGTGGTCTCATTTAAGAAAACTACTTTTTTCATTGTAGGGCCCAACATTGGGCCCGGGGCCCAATTTTTTGGTTTCAACAATGTAGATCTTTTTGTTTGGAACAACTTTTGTATTGAACATTTTTTACGAAAATTCGTACTTTTCGAGATATTTGCAAGTTTCCATACTTTTGGAACACCCTGTATATCTACTACAAATTTTTTTTAAGTTTATTCATCCCTTAATACAGTAATATACTTAAGGAAACTTTTTTCTTAAAACTTTCTTAGAAACTATGCTGTCCCAATTTACCCCGAATTTTATGGAATTTTTTAAATTTTGGGGTAAATGGGGACAGTCAGTTTCATGCGTTCAAAGCTCAATAATATTTGCCCACCTTACGGCATATCAGGGCTTTACAAAAAGTTTTGTATCTTTAATTCTAAAAAAGATAATAATCTTCGTCAAATATTCATCTTAAAGTTTATATCTTTGACTTGAACGATACAAAAGAGAAAATTAAAAAAAAATTTGTTTTCATTGTTTAATTGTTTAAAATGAAATAAAAAATTTTCCATTTTTTTTTGTAAATTTCAAATTGATACAGTTTGTGAAGAAATAATTAGAATTAAATTCTAGATACGGCATTTTAAAGCTTATTTCATCACCTTTCTAACGCATTTTTGAAAATTTTTCTACGATGATTTTTGAGCAAGATATGACCAATTGTTTAAAAAAACATAACCCTTTTTTCAATTGTTGATAACTTATGAACAATTGACTTTTGAAAAAAATTGTTCAGAGAAAAAATGTTCCTTATTATGTGTAGAATTAGGAAAAAAATATTTAAAAATTATTAAAAAAAAATTTTTAAATAATTTTTCAATTTTTAAAAAAATTTATTTTTTTACATTATATTGCAAGTTCAAATGGCATCAAGAAGTTAACATTCGTTTTCACGTAGTGTGCGTAGCGTAGTTGGTAAAACGTTAGACTCATAGTCCTTAGGTCGTAAGTTCGATTCCCCTTTTTGTAAAGCCCTGATATGCTGTAAGATGGGCAAATATTATTGAGCGGCAGTGTACACCCAGAAAAAAGATTCTTTGTTTCAAAGAAATTTGTGCATTTGTTATAGGGTCAAATAAAAATTTCTTTGATTTAAAGAAATTATTTCTTTACCTTAATTTTCTTGACTCAAAGAAATATTTCTTTGATTTTACGAAATTTTTTATTTAAATCAAAGAAATAAATTTTTATTTTAGTGCACAAATTTCTTTAAATGAAAAATATATTTATTTAATTTTGAGATTGTATATCTATATACCTATGTTCGTATTTTGATTAAAATATTAAATTAATATATTAAATTAATTAAATATCAGTGTAGATATTAATTTTTTTGGATTTTATTATTGTAGTAAAAATAGTAATTGGTTTATTTATTTTCTTTTTTTTTGAAAAATCCATAATTTATTTTTTAAAAATCATTAAAAATGAGCTTTCGCCCATCATCGTCGGCCTTAGCTTTTCATATTTAAAATACTGAAATAAATTAACTTTATACAGAAAAAATATCAAAATTGTAAATCATATACTTTTAAACGAAATTTAAAACGTAGATTAAAATTTTTAAGAAATTTATTATAAATTATAAAAATTAAATAAAAATGACAAACATAACCTCAAACTCAACATGTGGTTTTTTCAAAAAAAACTAATTTCCATCTTTACTACTTAATTAAATATCTTTGAAATAGTTTTAAATGTACTTCAAAAACATTTAATTAATTTAATACGGACTTTTACAAGTGAGGTTACATGTAAAACAGAGTTTTGATCACAAAGAAAACAATCAATACACACTGCGAGTATTTCCACATTTCACACATATATCACTCGTAAATCCCAAAGACACGAACAATTCACAAACATCTTTATCACTCACTGTAAGAAAATATAAAACAAAATTTAGCAATACAATTAACAGTTTAGACCATAAATCCGTTTATAATTATCACGGCATGAACTCGCTGCCATGAGGCACACACCAGCTATAGTTTATATTATGAATTTACGTATTCTGCGCGAACGCAGTCGTTCTAACTCAGCATATTTAAGTTCGAAAAAAATATTTCTTAGATTCAAAGAAATTTTTCTTTCGGTTAAAAATATTATTTAAAGAAAAAATTTAATTCAAAACACTTCAAAATTTTTTTTTCGTCTAAGCAAAAAAAAACTTTTTTTAATTCAAAAAAATTTCATCTTTGATATTCAAAAAGTGATTTAAAAAACCCAATTTATTTGTTTCAAAGAAATATTTTTTCTAGATGTTATATATAAAAAAGAATAAAATAGAAAAAAAAATTATTTAGAAAATAAAAATTTACAAAAACTGTTAACACTTATGCGAATATTGAAGGTCAGACATCGATTTTCTTATCATGAAACTACTGTATAGGTTTGAATGGTTAATAAAATTGCAATAGCAGATTCATGGTTAAAACAGGTGATTGCATAAGTAAAGCCTGGAGGTCCAACCTGTGGAACATAGACCAACACATTCAGCAGAAATTCACGCTAGAAAACGCACATATATAGCCAAGGCCACATAATCCGGGTGACCACTCACTCATATATTTTACATTCCACATTTCATAAACGCTCAATCGATTCTCGTTTTGCGCGCATCTCATATTTCTCTGTACTGGTAGTAGTAGCTCATACAAACTTTAAAAAATAAAAAATAAACTTTCAATGTTTCAAATTACATAATTCGTCTCTCATAATTTGTTTCTCAACAAGTCTTTAGCATATTTATAACTTTTTCTCGTGCAAAAAAAAAAAAAAAATATCTTTTCTCCCTTAAGACTGTGAAAATAGACTTTTTTTATACCTTCATTGCTTTTTAAGTAAATTTAAATATATATATTTTTTTAATTAACTAACTTTGAACATAAAAAAAAGAAATTTTAAATTTATCTTTTTAAACGATTTTGTTTAAATTAAAACAATTTGTAAATTTTAATTTAATATGCAGAAAAAATTCTTTGGTACAAATAAAAAAAAATATATATATATATATCTGTCACTTTCATTGAAAATTATATTATTTGTTTTAATGAAAA